TCTTCAACTCTGAAGGAGCGGCCGCGGAATACTCATTCATGACCAAAGAACATAGACTTCGAGAGAAGAACCTACATTGACCACCAACAGTCAACGGTTAGGTCTGCGCTGAATGTGGCAAAAAATGTTTGTTGCAGTTGGGACTACGTATCAACGTCAAAAACAGCACTCCTCATTAATCTTCGGAAAAACCTTATTAAATTTAAAATGTGAAATAATTTTAAATAGATTACTAACACAGACCTAGATATCTATCTATTTATATATTTTTATATATCTCTTTATGGCTTTAGTCGCGAAATGGGATGAATGCCTGGGTATTTGCTGTGGTCGGAACGATGTCGCTCTCCACACAGCTGATGTATAGCTTTTATTTTAGATAGCGCTATTTTTATGCTTATAGCATACATTATAGCATGCTCAGAGCGCTTTTGGTCCAATCTCATTTGTGGACTAGTGGGGGGGAGGAGGGTATCTAGGAGTTGGTTTTCCGTGCTGCCTTTTGCGCTCTGCCCGAGTCGGGTGCCGTCCCCTTCTAGGAAGCCAAGCCAAGTTCAAGCGCGCTTGGCCTCTCGACCACGCTTCCCACAAAGTATACAATGGAACGGCAGTTCCGTTACAGTTTGAGGTCGGCGGCGTCCCAGGTTCTGCCAGGGTGTAGCACTGGGTCGCCGGCTCTTGATTTCTCCTCAGGGTTGACTCCCGAAGCATTTCCCTAGATATAGATCTATTAAATTTTTAGGATTCTGGTTTATGAATACATTTCTTACAAAAAGTGGAACAATGTTTGCAACGCTTGTCTGGAATGCAGAATTAATTAGCATACTCTCAGTAAAAACTAGCTCTACGAAATAAAGCTGAGACTAAAATAAAGAATGTCGATAATAAATTAATCATTCTTAGAACTCACTCATATTATTATTATCAATATTGTAGATATATTATTTGGTTACTTATAGATATATATGAGAATCAAAGTACAAGAATAGTCGGTTGGTAAACACTAATTTATATTTTTTTTTACAAATTCGTTTCCTATATTACTTTTATGCCCATTGTGAGTTATTGTCCCTGGAAAGACGAAGCTGTTATAGTATAAACACCATATTAACAGACCTCTTTTTTACAAAACTTATATCAACTCTGTCTATCTATCTGTCTGGAAAAGGTTTGTACACATTATTTTTACAAAGCTTATATTAACTCACTCTGTCTTATCTTATCTTATCTTATCTTATATAAAACAGACGTTACATCAAAAAAGAAGATGATTATGTCCTATTCGTCATGCATTTAGTCATGCATATTAACCAATGACTTAAATTCTGCCAAGTCACTGGTTTTCCTGGCTAGCTCAGGCAACCCATTCCATGCTCTAATAGCATTAGGGAAGAAGGAGTATTTGTACAAATTTGTCCTAGCATATGGGACGAGGAATGTGCCTTTATCTTTGTGTCTTTCAGAGTATTTTATTAAATTTTGTTTTTGTATTTGAAGATTATGGTTCGGTGTTTTATGTATAATTTCTACTTTACTTTTGAGTCTTCTGTCCTGAAGGTTTTCTTAATTTAGTGATTTTACTAAAGGTGTTACTCTAGTAAAATGTGAATATTCATTTGTTATGAATCTCACTGCTCTATTTTGTGTCTGTTCCAATTTCTTAATGTTTTCTTGAGTTGAGGGGTCCCAAATCGAGGATGCATATTCTATTATTGGCCTAACCAAGGTTAAATAACATTTTAGTTTTATGTTCTTGTTTGATTTATAGAAATTTCTTTTAATAAATCCTTATGCTTTGTTTGATTTTTTAATAGTTTCATTAATATGTGGATTCCATGACAGTTTTTCATTTATTATAACACCTAGGTATTTTGCGTTTTTAGTCTGTGTTACTGGTTTGCCATGAATAAGATAAGTGGGTTTAATTTGTTTTAGTTTTTTGTTACTCTTAACAACTGACATTTTTCTGGGTGGAAAGACATGCTACAACTTGATCCCATTTCTGTAATTCATCTAATTCTCTTTGTAAAATATCTATGTCTTGTGTTGTTTTTATTGTTCTATATATTATGCAATCGTCTGCAAATAATCAGACTTTTGTTCCTGAAGTAATGCAATTTGGTAAATCATTTATGTAAATTAAAAATAGTAGTGGACCCAAGACTGTTCCTTGAGGTACACCTGAGTTTACTGTTATCGGTGTTGATTTAGAGCCATTTATTATTACAGTTTGTTCTCTCCCTATCAGAAAATCTTTAATCCACTGATGCATTGGACCATTAATGACAAAATATTTTAATTTTTAAGCAAACTATGGTGGTGAACTTTGTCAAAAGCCTTAGAAAAATCTAGTGTCTACGTGGTAAAAGGTTTGTACACGTTATTTCTCCGACACTCAATCTCGGATCAAGCTGATATTTTGCACCATTATTTCTTTATTTTAGCTGACAACACAAGAATCAATTAAAAAAAAACAACTGATTAGTTAATTAACTATTGATAATTAATTATTTATCTTGTTTGGTATCTCGAACCAGCGAAAGAAATGTACTTGAATGAAGTGGTGGTCACTGCTCTAAATTGAAAGAAACAATATTAAAGTATACAATCTTCTCTAGCAGAGTGCCTTGAGCCACGAGTTCAGGTTCGGGTCTTTCCTCTATTATATATATATATATATATATAAATGCTTTAAAAAAACAGTTATGGTAAAATCTACCCGTAGATTCCTTTCTCTCTCCCTCCCCCATTGTCCCAACTGGTCCGGGTAAGTGATAGGATCATAGCGTATTGAGAAAGCTAAAAGCATGAAACAGCGCTTAACAAAAACAATCAGTAAAAATATTATTAATCGCATTTTATTGTTGTTGGTTTAGATCGTAGATTATATATATATTCATGGACTGCCAACTTTGCGCACTAAGCCTATATTTTTCATTTTAAAAAGTCCCGTTCCCCGAGGCGTCCTTGGTTGCAGGGTAAAGCGATCCCTCCCCCACACACGCATGCAGCAATAGAAGAATAGATAATAACAATCCATATTTCGATGGTCTTAGGCGACCCCTGGAAAATCGTCAATCGACCCTCAAGGGGGTCGCGACCCACAGGCTGAGAACCCCTGATAAAAAGAAACCATTCCCGAATATTCTATCACCGCTTTTACAGCAAATCATGAATAGTCTATGGTTTATATCTATTACAAATTTAATTACATGACTGATCAAAACTAATTGATCCAATTACACTTCATATAAGCTTTTTTTTAAAAGTATTTTTTATGTTTTTCTTAAATTACTTTTCCAAATCCCAACTTGCCCCCTCTCAGTCTATTAGGTCTAGTTTAGGAATGATTTTTACTATTACCCCCTTTTTTTTTTTTTTTTTTACAATTCTTATTATTAGCTTGCATATTATTCATGGCCAAAACCTGGAACCTGGTCACGGATCTCGAAAACGGCTCTATTAACGATTTCCTAGAAATGTGACAGTTTATGCATATCTTTGGGGGAAGCTAATTGGCCACAATGGGAAAACTTAGTTTTGACCATTCTAATGTTTTCAAAATATTATCATCTTAAAATGTATTTTGGTCTGGAGATCTAGACGGTCTTTATCTTGAACACGCATCAGTGGAACAGTTTGCAAACCGTATTATGTGGAAATTTTTCTAGAGTCCAGACTACTGTCTTTTTATGTTTCTAAGTTCTAAGTGTGAGCTGGCGCTACTAAATCTAATTTTATCTTTATTTTAATTTGTAATTTATATAGGCCAGGGCTATGATGTTTGTAATTTAGTGTCTTTTTAGTTTATGTAGTTCAGTGCTGAGTATTTTGTAGTTTCCGCTATTTATAACTTTCTGCTAGTTTTAGTCTTTTTCTGTTATTTGTGTTTTACTCGTAGAGGAAAAGTAGTTTTTAAAATAGTTAACTAGCCTTAGTGCTGTGGATGTTCTTTCCTATTTTTTGTCCCTGGTTAGTTCTGCTTACTTTTGTCTTTGACATTAGCGTTGGATTGGTTGTTATTTTTTAATATCAGTTTATGTGCAGGTCTGTAAACGGTATAGAGCCCCCATATGAGTTTAGAATAGAAATAACTTTTTATCTTCCTTTTTCTATTTTTGTAGGATTTAAATTATAAGATTCTCTTTTTAATGCTGTTTAATTTGGTATATAATGTTGTGTAGTCCGTGTCTTTAGTAATTTGCTAGATTTTATTGTTGTGTACGGCTAGATACAAATTAGGGAAATTGGTAGTCCAGTTTAGTTATAGAAAATTAAGCTCTCTTTTGTCTTGACCAGTGGTCAGTGCTGACGGTGGTGCCTGTATAAAGCTAATTGTGTGTTGTATAATTTCAGCTGGGACCGCCTGTAAGTTGGAAAATGTTGTGTTTTTTTACTTTCTTTAGTTAGATTTGTATTAATTGTTCCTACATCTCTTGCTATAGTTTAGATGTAGACTGATTAGTGTAGTGGCATCACTGGCTAGTTAATTAGCCATGATTACCTCTGATGGAATCGGAAGTTCCGTAGACTTGAGTAGCGTCACCCCTTTTAGCCATTCTTAATGATCCCCTTATTGTTTTTCTATTGTTTGTCTTTTTGTAAATATTTTATTATTTTATGTCTTCTAAAAGTATTTTTATTAATATTATAATATTGTTAGGATAACGGTTCTAACAAGTTGGCATGTGTCCGATTTTAATTTTTAATGTAAATGATGGCTGCGTCTTACTCAACGCTCCATGATGGCGGCTTTGTTAAGCCAAATCTAGATTTATGTTTATTATTGTCTGGCCCAACATGTGTTGTGGCGTAAGCTTTTAAGTAGGTATCATAATGATAATAATGTATGGCTTTTTATGAGCTAAATGAAGGTAATTGTATTTACCTCATGCATTTAGGTATGTGTATGTGCTAGACTAGACTAGGTCTAGTTCATTATTATTTTGTTATATAATATTATGTCTTATGTTTGTTTATATTTGTAATTGCAGGCTATAATTCCTGCCTAACTGTCTGCCGCAGTTATTACTGCCTAACTGTCTGCCGCAGTTATTACTGTTGCCCTATAGCTGTTGTGTTATTGCTGCTGTACAGCTGCCATTATTTCTGTGTAGTAGCTTACGGCTGTAGTCCTGCCAAATAGCTGCTTTATTTGTTAAGTTCAGTTCGGTAGGGTTGATCAATCCTTTAGTAGGTGTATATTTAGTTTTATTACTGTTGTTTTGGTTTCATGTAAATAAAGTATATATAAGTTCCTTTTATAATTTCAGTTTGTTATTTTATTTTTAGTTAGCTAGTTTAGTTTAGTTTGATTGTGCTGTCTGGTTGCTTAGTCGACTCTAGCCCCTTGGTCACAGACCGAGGTGCACAGATTGGGCCCACCCAGTAGAGCTGCCACCTACCTACTGGTATAAATGAATAAATGTTGAGCAGCAGATAACAAAAAGGCCTCACTCAGTAGCGCCACCCTGACCTGCTCACATAAGCCTAGATCAATATCACCATACCAGAATCTTATATACCATGTCTTTAACTATATCGAGCATTCTAGTCTAGATTACTGTTTTTTTATGTTTTTACGACTAGATCACCAAACTAGAATCTTTTATACCATATCTCTAACTAGATCCAGTAACTAGTAGCCTATAAAGTCTTGTAATGTTACAATATCTGGATCTATATCATCAAACTAGAATTGTATATACTTTGAGTAGATTGATACATATTTTTTTTTCGGAAATGGAGGAGGGGGTGGGACTGGGAATTTAGGCGGGGTAAAAAAAATCAATTTTTGAAGTTCAATTTAGCGTCCTTGACACTATTGAGTTGATCGTTAAAATGTCCAATAGTGTAAATGTAGTACACTGTAGTACAAAGTCTATGGTATAGTAGGCCTACATAGTCTATGGTGTAGTACAAAGTCTATGGTGTAGTACATAGTCTATGGTGTAGTACATAGTCTATAATGTAGATGTAGTACATATAGTTTATTGTGTAGTACATAGTCTATAGTATAGTTAAGTGAAGTACGTAGTCTATGGTGTAGTACTCCTTGGAACGGAAAAAAACAAACTTGCCAAATGTGCAAAGCGTAAATAAAATAGTTTTTTTCCCCTGCAATTTGATTCTATATCTAGATGCTTCATGCTTTTACTGAGAATGCTAAATAATTCAGGTGAAGTAATTAAAAGTCAAAATAATTCTACTAAATGAGAAAAGTTTGTTTTAGGCGCTTTTGAGCTCAGTGTTCAATCTCTGCTCGTGGCTTTGTTAGTGAAAGTAATTTAAAGTTGAGTTTCTCTTAATTGCAATTGTATTGATTCATTTTATAATTTCAGTTTAAATTATTACAATTTCTTCCACAATTCCAAAATCTCCGGCTAAGCTCCGTGTTGTTTTATCAAATTTAACATTTGAAAATACAGACTCAATACCAGCATCACAATTTCTGAATTAGTCAAGAGATCTATAACTAGACGACATGTTGACTCATTTTCTTTTTGAATTTTTAAAAACTGTCTTAAAAATATTCCGAGTAAACCAAATCCAAGAGTCAAATGAGAAAATCAGTCCAGCATCTCTTAGAAGTAAGACAAATGCTTTAGTCTAGGAATTGGCAAATTACGATCCGCCGGCCACATGCGGCCCTCCGAGGTGTTTTATGCGGTCCGCGCACACCTACAGAAATCAGATGAGTCTACATATTATACATATAAAAATGCAAATATATTAAAAAAAAAAAAAAATTTAAATCTATATAAATTATTGAAACTTCTGATTAATTTTACTTATCATGAAGAGGCTACAGAAACATTGTCTCTTCGTGTCATTCTAAAATGTTTAAAGTAATCGAAAATTTTTCTTATAGGAGCAATATTTCGAAACATTTAGTCAAAGACACAAACACAGGCCAGTATTTATTCAATTCAAAGCTATGAAGAACTGTGTTGAAAGCGTTGGGTTGGCCTGGAGCAAGATGGCAAGTGTAACAACTGATTAAGCCCATGCTTTGACAGAGAAAAACTGTCTTTTAATAAATTAAAGAACAATTTCCCAACCATAAACTCTAATTGGGAAAGTTTCCGCAAAGCTTCATTGAATATCAGACATATTATTAAGACAATTATTTCAGTGATAAAGCTTACTAAGGTCTATCATCACAGGCAGATTCGACAAATACTTGACAATTTGGAAAAAAAAAATATGTTTAGTACCATAGTTGTATCCGCAGGCTTGAGCAAGGTATTGAGAAGAATATTTTTTCATCGGAACTATTGCAATGGAATGCTTGTACATGAAATGTATGTGCATGTTAAATCGTTTCAAATAAAGCTTTCCCATTTCTCCAGGCAAGCAAGTGAAAACAGGTTTTGTCATTTTCCTTTAATCAAAGTTAAATCCTATTGTAAACTGATGGACGTGTTTAACATGCTATTTTATCGAGCGCTAACACTGACCGAAACTCCGCAAGACTTAAGTACATGTACCAAGATGACTGCATTCTTCACTCTTGTTCAAAGAAACTTTCACATATATCAAATCGAAAGACAGATGGCAAGGAGTTTTCCTCAAGCCTTTACTAAATATGATACCTATAATTATGTGCAAATGAAAACAAAGTCTAACGTGCTATAGAATATTGTAAAATGTTTAGGATGTTCTTTCAGAGTTGAAGATAATATACTTCCTAGTGCAAACCTCCCGCAGGACTACGGGGGATGGGAGCCGACAGGGTTTGAAACCGGGACCATCGATAAATCCAAACGACCAGGCAGTCAGCCTATAATAAAGCACACATGGTCTGACATGAACTATAGATTAGCCAATTCAAATTTATTAGAATAATAGCTTAGATGAGCATATCCTTATTATCTTTATTTCAGTGGAAGCACTGCAAGTTAAATTGCTTCCTAGCAGAAGTTAATTGATTTGAAGGGGTAAAAAACTGGCTAAAATTTGGATATTCAAAATTCAGAGGGGTGCACGTACATGGTCAACCATTAATTCCTGTTAAGGCTAGTCTACTACAATTGTACTTCAGTCCCCAGAGAAAGCACTGCTTGTTCAGTTGCTACTTAGATTTTAATTGATCTGATGGTGGAAAAAAAATAGCTAGAATTTGGCTGCTCAGAATCCAGGGGGGTGCTAGTGCACCACCTCGCACCACCAATCGGGCGCCATGATCGTGAATTACAAAGCTTATTATACTTTTATAGAAACATCCATGACTGTAATAACTTTGTTAGACGGCCTACTAAACTAGATAATTGGACCTTATGATGTTCCGTTATAGGGGAACTAATTCATCACTTCATATTCCTGTCACTCTAATTAATATAGTTCAAGTCCGCCATAAACAGACATATTATTGGCGTTAGTAGGCCTACTTTGCTGCCCCTGCACGTTTTTAAGACAGCGTAGACATGTCGCTTAGAAGTTAGCCAGTACACGAGAGACGGGGGGGGGGGGGGGCGTCATGCATGACCAGTACTACCTAACCTATACATAATCATTGTAGATTTGTAATACTTTTTTAATGAAACAAATTTAAGTAATAAATATTGTAATGTTACTTATACTTTCTTTACTGTGTCAACAGTTTCGAGAGTAACCTTAACTTATAAATTAAAAAAAAAAAAAGATTACAATACTCTTAGCCTATATGCTCTAATAGCCACGAATAAAAAACACAGACAAACGTCTAATGAAGACTTTAGGATAAACAATATAAAACCATTATTAATTTATAACAACAAATTGATTTGTTTAAAATGTAGGCTATCAGTTTATACTTATCGTTTGGAAATGCTGAGTATTTTCCTACACTATTTCTTAGTGTTGACAGACACTTTGTAACATTTCTTTAGGCCTACTAGTCGCGAACAGCAAAAACAATTTTTGTTAAAGCAGGTCAATATATATATATATAAGCCTATACCTCTGTGTGTTTTGTTTGCTTTTATTCTACACACACACAAAACTTGGTTCTAACGATTTACTCTTACTCTAGGTTTAAGAGAGCAATCATGTTTATTTAGGTTAGAACTACTTATAAGAGATTATTGCACTCTATAAATCATGGGTCACGCCTGTCTAGAAGTTCAATGCGTTAGTGCGAGTGTAAATAAATTAAATTTAAAAAAAGGCGAGGATGGAAATGAGGTGTAGCAAAGATTAGTGAATCAAAGTTGACTTTAAGAAAATGGTGGGTTGAGTAATAACTATTTCGTTTTAGCTTTGTCAGATCATTGTACAATAGACAGATGGAATAAAGGTTATATGGTGAGATTCTGATTCTGCAGAGAATTATAAGTAAACCGAAGAGAAACAAACAGAATATAAAGTATAAAATAAACAGACGGCTTCATATTTTTAAGAGTCACATTCTGACATTTGGTTTCCACAAACAATAAGAAATATTTTAAAGTGACATTTCGTAAAGCTCATCTTCTATTAACTATGTTGTGTTGGTCTACAAAGACACTAAGGCTTCCTTATCCTACCTCCAATAAATACGAATGAATAAATAGGTCTACATTTTCTCATACTAATCTAATTACAATAATTGATTTTTTTGGTCGGACGACAGCTTCGTTAAGTTTTATTTTACTCCGGTTGCAATCTTTTAATTTTGTTGTTGTTTTGTAAAACCTCAAAAATAAGTCCATGCGGTTACTGTATTAGGACAATCTATTAACAGTCGATCTTATTTGATTCAAGAAATATGGTTTCTGTATAATTAAGTTTTGTCTGGATGGTAACCTACGTGTAGCACTACCTTGTATAGATGTATATCTACTTTAGCATGAACAAGACAAAAAAAAGTGTTTATAAAAAGAATCTCGTAGAAAATCAAACTTAAAAGAAAAGAAAATCTACTTAAAAACGGGCTACCTGGTCGTGTGCATGCGCTTTGACGTTCAAACTGTCGTTAGGATGGTACCAAGTTCGAACCCCGTGCAGGACTAGGACGTAATAATCTGTATGTCTATACCAGTAAACAAACACTAGGCCTACTATATATGGATTAGTTTTGTAACTTACATGAGAGTGTCAACAAAACCAAATTATCCATAGAATGTAAACTGTAGATATCCATCGAATGTTGATTGTATCTCTAGATAAAGCTGTGAATTAAATTGTGACGAAAACTGCCTATCACTTTGTATCTAGGTCCTGGCTTAATCTGTTATCAGTCATACGCACCTAATGAGTTCTTGTCAATCCTACAACAAGACTCCGGAAACAACCTCAGTGAAAAAATG